GGCATAGGATTGCAATATCCTAGCGAGCACCCTTTTTCTTTTTCACCCTTTCCCAGAAAGGCATGCTACGTCCGTTCTACCGCAAACAGGTAACGCCTAAGTCTCCAACGAGCGAGCAGCAATACACCTAAACGGCTAGAATGCGTATGATAGCATCGTCTACCAGTACACCCCATTTCCCCGCACACCGTAGGCCGAACTACGGCTGCTCTGATTCTTTACTTCGTTCAAGTAAAGATACGTAGGCACAAGGGCCACAATCCTTGCCGAGCACATTCCCCCTATATCTGTAGTTCCCCGAACTACGTCGACTCTGACTTTCTCACATCTATTGAGAATACGTAGGCATATGACTGCGAAGTCCTATCGAGTCTGTTCTTTCTCTCTTTTTCCTCGTTACTTCTCTCTATCCTATTTCTAACCCTTTTTCTCCCTATCTTTTGGAACACTTTTATAGCATAATATTTAAGCAAATAAAATCACACATCGACAAACAAAAGGTTCCCATCGAGTACGATGGATGCGAGGGGTGCTAATACCTTCCCCTTGCATAACCGGCTTCCGAACCCGTTCTTGGTCGCTAGACCATCTTATCCATTTCTTTCTTAAGGTTTTCTTGATATTTTCCTTTCCCCTCATGGGATAAATAAAGTTCGGTGGCGACTCTTCTGTCTATCTTTTTCGCCTCCCCGTCGTTGCACGATGCATTTTTCAAGTAGCGACAACATCTACCTTGATCACATTCCAAGCAGTCTTAAAGAACTTTGCATTGTATCCATATATCCCTGGTGCTTTTGTGTCTCGTATCCCCTTAAGTGCTTCCTAAATCTTTTGATATGTAATTGGTTGAATCAATGATTGTTTGTGAATTTCTTGTAATTGATGCTCTTGTCAAAGTGCTACAAAATATACTTTAAGAAAGCTTTAAGATGATTTACCAATCATTTCCCCATATAATCTTAGTACTTCAGTCTCTATCCCTTTATGTTATGTTATTGCTCTCTAATTCTTATCTTCTAGCTTGTAGATCCTAGTCTGTTTATATTTACTTCTGGCATTGGCATGGAAATATGCATTACTTTCATATCCAACTTTCAACCAATTGACTTTAGATTTTTGCACCATTAGTTGCTCTTCATGCTAAGTAGCCTTTAATATTTCATTAGACAAATGTTTAACATTTTCAATGTATTCTTGGTTAAACATACCACTAGTCAGTTGTTGTTTTGCATGTGCTAGCAATAGTCTATTCTCCTGGATTTTTGAACACCTACAGTTGTTTGTCTAATTAAGTCTCTCATAAGTGGTTGTAGTCTCATGAGTTTCCTCCATACAACATACATTGGTGTCCCTCTAAGTTCAGTGTTCTAGCTATTTGTAACTATACTCATATACTCGGCCTTCTCCACAACACAGTTAAGGAATTTATATTAAGACTTGTATGTATTTGATTCATCATTGTTCCCCATCATATTCACTATGATAGGGGCATGATCAGAGATGTGAGTATTCAGAACTTCAACTTCATAATTTGGAAACAATAAGTACAAGTCCTTATTACATATGGCTCTATCTAACCTAAAGCATATAATACCATTTGTATGCTTATTTGACCAAGTGAAATGGCTGCCTTTAGTTTCATGTTCATATAATCCTACCTCTTCCATCATACTTTCCAAGTCAGAGTATCCTGCTTCTTGCACTGGGTTCCCACAAATTGTGTCACCAACTTTGAGAACATCGTTAAAATCACCAATTATGATCCATGGTCCCTGAGTTGTACTGGCATATTTCTTTATATCTATCCAAAACTTTCTTCTATTATGCATTTGGTTGTAGGCATATATAACAGTTAACCAGGTTGTGATTTTTCCTTCTTTAGACACTTCACAATGCATGAATTGGTCAGATGATTCAATCAATTTCACCTCAAACTTGTTTTTCCTCCACATCATCCAGATTCTTCCATTTTGGTGATTGGTATAATTTTCAAACCAACTTCATTCATCACCAAATATTAGCATTACTATATTTTAGTCTAGTTTATAGGAAGGTCACACATGAAACATCGTGATTCTTGATATGTGCTACTATCTCAATGTGTCTTTCCCTCTTATTCATACCTTTAACATTCCAAGTGATTATCCCTGTTCTTCAGATGTTCTTGAACCATCTTCATTCCTTAACATTTCAAAGCCATTGCTGCAGAGTTATTCCCTCTATTTGTTTCGCCTTCTTCAGGTGTTTTCATACTTAGTCATTTTTTGCAAGGTTTCTATCATCCTTTGTTGAATCCTTCCGCTACAAATTTCATGCTAACAAGTTCCTAAAGCGAGCGGATTGTGACTCCGAATTCACTGATTGAAGATTGGATAGGAAAAGTACCAGTGATACGTAACATTTACTTGGGAACTCGAATGTCACATGGCATAACAAGAAACAAGAAAGTGTCGCGCTATTAGTGGTTGAGGCATAATAGTTTATTCAAGTAGTTGTTACGCTTAACTCATTTTAACAAAATAACAACTCGATAACTACAGTGTAAAACTTAGAGATGTCTCAATAGGATGCGATAACACTAGCGCCATAATCCTCACAGAAAACTTGATACATCACTCTCAGGCTAAACACATTAAAGTTAGATACCACTTTATTATAGATCATGTGTAAAAAGTAGAATGCATAATTGATTTTGTAAACCCATCTAATCAACTCACACATATTTTTACTAAACCCCATTCTAAAGAAACCTTCTTTTTCATAATAACCGAATGAAGAATCTTAAACCAATCTTGCATTGACTGAAATTCCTACATGTGATATATGTGCATTTATGTGCTTATGTTCGACAAAAAGGGAGAAGTATACTCTCAGGGAGAGTATAATATACTTTCCACCAAATTGAGAGAGATTTTAATCATTCCAAAGATATATATGTTCCTTCTCATACCATCCACCTGAGAGATGCATTATCATCATCAAAATAGAGGGAAATGTGGATCTATGTGCTTGCAGGTATAAAGTTGAGCAAAATATTCATATGAAGTTTTGATGATAACGACAATGACTAAAGTCGATGACAATAACGTTTAACCTCGATGATGAATTTCTAAAGACATATCTCATGCCTCATCAACAAAAAGACACTCAAGATCAAAGTGCTTATATGACCAGAAGAAATCTATCAAAGAGTCTTGAAGTCAGAAACTAAGTGAGAAAGCTCTCCAAGAAATTATGACAGCACATTAATGACTTGCAACGACTCTATATCAAATATTTTCTAATTGGGTTTTCTAATCGATTAAGAATGAGTTGGCCAATCTATTGGAGTTTTGTGTTAATAAATTTGCTCATTTAATCATCCCGTGGATGATTTCCTTTTCTATTCTTTCCAACTCCTATATAAATGAGTCTAGCTCGCACTTGTTCTTACGCCACTTTTCAATTATTTAGATTTTTCTTAGAATTTCACTCTCTCTCTAGAAAATATTTCTTTCACTTAAAATTGTATTAGTTCTTATGAATGAACTTTGCCTGTGATGAAGAGTTTTGTAAGTGATCGTACTGTTTGTTTAATTCTTGAAAGTATGATACTCTTAAAAAGATTGAGTTTGATTCGTGAGATAAAGCAGACATAAAATCTCTGCTTTGGTTTATTGAGTTTTTCTGAAAGAAAATTCTGCTTTGGTTATTGAAATTAACTTGAAAATGTCTAATAAGATTCTAGCTTAGTTTGTGATAAAATTATTTTTGATTTAGGATAAACATGTAAAATCTCAAGATTATCTTGTTTCAAGGTTAGTGGCATAACCTATAAAAAGTTTAAAAAAATTAGTCAAAATTTCAAGATTAACTGTCTAGTGCAATTTATCTAATAGTTACTCTCTTAACATTTCTGCTGCTTACTATTTATTTTTATCCCTGCTGCAATTTACTCTCAAAAAACTACTAACGCTATCTTAATCAAAATAAATATAAAATTAATCACAAATTTTAAGATAATCAAAATAAATATAAAATTAATCACAAATTTTAAGTAAGACAATTCACCCCTTCCCTTTCTTGTGCTTGAAGTTATTTGTTCAACGACCACTATTTCCTAACTCGTCTCCATATTTTGTAATCTCTATATTTTATAATCAGAAAAACTCAAATCTAAATTGAAACTTAGTCAAAACAGATTTTTTCCCTTGAAGCTTATTCAAGTGGATATCTACAAATTTAGATTATGTTGCCATGCATTCAATACTGTACGCACGCATGCTTAAGACCATAAATAATGTAAAATCTTAAAAAAAAACTTTTCAAAATTAGAGATAGTTTTTCATCGTACTTTTAGCTAGTAGTATAAATTGATAAGAGAATTTTGTTTTCTTTCTAAGAAAGATTGAGATCAGGATCACACCATTACTTCAAAATGTGGTTGAAAATTAACCTTATCATAATCACGTAAGCAACATGTAATCTGCTTTTAGATAAGCTAGTAAGTTATAAATGTGTATTGATTGGTCCTTGTAGCCAATGTAATAATTTAAAAATGCATAAGAATAATAGATATATATAGATATATAGTTAATACTATGACAAACAATTTATTTACTTTTGGTCGAATTAAATATCTAAATTTTGTCCTAAAAAACTGCAAATCTATTCAAGACCAACATTTTGACCAAAAATAAAACATCAAAACCAATTATATTTTTCACCAGTATATAAAATTAAAAGTACGAAAAAAAGTATTTTCATTTACTGGGAAAACTGTAACTGTCCCAAGCGGTTACAATGCAGATGAAACATCAGAAACTTGCGTCTCCGTGTTTAAGGACTTAGATTGTCTACGCCGCTCCTAGCGTAGCCTAACATGCTCTCTATCCTATACAACTCCAAAATAAGTCAATTGCACAAACTCTGATTCTCTTTACTCTCTAAATCTAACGACCGTGATTTCTCTTCCACGGGAACCGGTTGATTCAGGCTAAACATATTGTATTATCCTCGACTCACAGTTCTTCTTCTCTTGCTCGCTTCATACCTATTGCCACACCAAACAGCTTCGGATAATTATCATACACCACCATCGCCGCCGCATCTTTTCCACCGTATCGCATCTCCGACAGTAAATTAAGCGTCTTTGTTGCCGTCGAGCAACACTCTTTTCCTTGTGCACCGTTTTCCGCTTGAAAGTATGCATAATTAGACATTAGATTGAATATATTATTGAAGAGGGATTTCATGTCCTCTAATTCCATTCTTAAATGAATGTTCTCCTTTCTAAGCCTCTCGTTCTCTTCTAATAGCGTCTGCTCAAACGTCAACGAATCCGAAGAAATCACCTGCTCCACCCCTGAAACTGACGCCGATACGATCGGATTTACCGTCGGTAATGAAACCGAATGCAAAGCAGACGACACCGCTACTGTTTCAGATGCACCGCAATTGGTAACTGACGACAGCGTTTTTGAAACGATTTTCCGTCGCTGAATATCACATAAAAGGCGTTTCTCGCCTCTCCGAAAGCATTCGTTAGAGAATTCCCACCGATCAGGCACAACTTTTTTAAATCCCTGAAATCAACCAAAACAAACATAAATTAAAAAATAAATTCAAACCAAAAATTGGAAATAATTAGTTAATTTTGATGATGATAAATGAATTACATAAGTATTGAGTTGACGGACGAAGCTGGAGAAGTTATTGTGCTTGAAATATTTAGGAAGAAAATCAGTGGCGAAAACGGTAGGGTTCCAAACGACAAAGGAAGTTCCAGTATCGTTCCAAGAAACGACGTCGTCAATGGTACGATCATCAACGATCTGGTAAGTTTTGGTTATAAACGGTGTTGGAGTTGATCTTTGAGACTCGCCGGTTGAGGAGTCGCCATTGTGTTCCGCCGACGGAGCCATGGAGAAGATTCTAGCACGAGAGGGGTTTTATTATTTTTTGTCGTGATAGTTCTAGAAGGTTCGAGAGAAGGTAGAGAAGAGAAAAAATAGAATTATGGAAGAAAGAGAAAGATTACCGAAATGGGAGAAGAGAAACCAGAAGTATTAGGTTACGTCTTTTTCTTCGCGAAACTTATTTTCTGTGGGGACAGTTTAATGGATTTTGAGTTAGCATAAAGATAGGGATGAAACTTCTACACTTCTTATCACTTTCAAGAAAGAAACAATTGGAAAAATATCTAACCGATTTGAAAGATTCGCGACAAATTATTTACGATATCTGTTTGGGATTTACAAAATTAAAGAAATGATTTCCTTATTTTCTTCTCATATTTCTAGAAAAGACAGTTAACATTTTGCATAGCAGTGTATCGAAATTCTAGAATCCCTATTATAAACAAACTTTTTACTTTTATTTTTAAATAGATGATAATATTCAATTAACCTATAATCTAAATCTACTTAGTACATTCATGCAATATTTATAATTAAAAAAAATAAAGGTAAAATATTTTTTTTTGTCTATTAATTTTATTTTGGTGTTCAGTTTCATCATTTAACTTTAAAAAATGATAAGTTGACTTTTTAATTTTTAAAATGTTGCCACATTTGTCCTTCCCTTTGTAGCCATTAGTCAAAGCTAGTAAAACGGTGTCACGTTTGTTCCTGTAACTTTTTTATTGTTGACATTGATATAACATGTAATATAACAATCCAAGTATATTATATCCTTCATTAACCCCAACACATATACGACAAAGCCTTAAAATTGTTGCTGCGATGGAGAATTGAAGGGAGAAATCTCAATGAAGACGTGATGAATTGAAGGCGCATAGGGTTGTTTCATCAAAGACGTGACAGATTAAAGACGGTCGAAGATGTATTTATCAAAAGGTTAGTAAATTTTAATTTGTTTTAGAGTTTACGGATGTGTTAGGGTAATATGTGGTTCTGTTCCGTTTTAGGATTTATGTAACTGTTTTAGTGTAAACTTTAATTACTTAGGTAATATGAATAGGTATAATGGTGTTTCACGTGAAAATTGAAAAATAACAGCTGATCTTCCAAATCTAACTTTAGTGACTCATAGGATCAACCAGATTGATCCTAGAACATGTGCAAAATATTAATTAAAAGAAAATTCTAAAGACTAAACACTTCGACAATGTTCATAAAGAAGAGTTTATTTAAATGTATGGTTCGAAAGAAACATAAGAACATTGAATCGAAAAAAAGGGTTGAAGACGTTAAAGAAAAGCTTAAAAGAAACAAAACATAATGCTGAAATGTAACATGCAGGAAAATAAAAGATAAACTCTTTTGATGAAAAGTTAAAGTAAATTTCATTAAAGAAGAAAATGGTATTTTACATCACGTACATTCTCCCATGACTCTTTTTTCTACACACGAATACTTTGAGTAAATTTGGAGTAACTTGTACAAAGTGAACACAACACTCTTAATCCTATTGCTAGAACTTCTATTTATACTAATAAAGCTAACTGATGTTAACTTCCTAAGACAATTAACATCTGCCAAGTGTTGCGCTGCATGCATCTGCCTCTTGGATGTGCGCCACTTGTCTTATTCAGGAGTGGACAAAAATAACTACTCCCTCTTTTATTTGAATTTCAAATTCTCTTAGTATTGGACAACATTCTCGGTCGAAAGGAGCTTCTCAACTCTTAGGAATATTTTATAAGTCCAAAAAGTATCCCTTTCTTATGTAAGTGTCTTCGACTTAAACTTAACATGAAGATCCAGTCGAAGACTCCTTTTATACCTTTCCAAGAATTCAACATTTCAACCAATACTTCCAATTTAAAATAGGCGTCAAATTTCTGAGCTGACAAATTGCCCCCCAAGAATGTCCTTTTCGACAGTGCTGAAGAAAAAGGCCATTTTTTGATAGTGCCCTATTCGACGCCATCTTTCGACCCCACATAGGTGTCAATTTAACTGACCAACCCACGACTCAAGAAACTATTTAGTTTCTTTTCAAACATATCCATGACGTCATGGCCAATTATGAAAACAATTTCTTGAAAATCACATCAAATCTCAGACCATCATCACCTCTCCTAGGATCTATGAGATCGTGGACATAGGTAATAACTGCCACCGCCCCCACTTTCGCTCTTGGGAAACCACGTGTCCCACTAGCTTTTAGCTCTTAATGATGATTAGTGACCTTTTATTACTTCCACACACTTTATAAATAATTTCTTCAGAAGCTATCTTTACTTTTCCCACTCCAAAGCAATCACTAAACATTTTCTTCTTCTTCAAACACTCTCAACTCTTCACCTTCAGTAAACTCATTTCCTTCAAACCTTTAACAATGGCATCTTCAACCGCTGCTACTCAAGATCAAAAGAAAAACCTGAAGGCCAAAGGGCCAAAGAGCGTGTCATTGCTTCCTCCCTTTGCTACATTGAGCGGACCCAAGGTAGTGAAGAATCAACAGTTCATTCCTGAACCTCTCAAAGAAGAAAAGAGACACATCTACGAATCTCAAGTAATGATTCATGTGACCATTTCTGGAAAACCCCTAGCTATATCTAGTCCTTTATCCACTTTAGGTGCAAATTATACAACCATTAGTGACTTCTTCCCTTCCTACCGTAAAACTAAACCCTTAGGGCAAAAGGATCAAACTAAGGTAACCGCTGAACCACATGATAGTGTAGCCCTCAAGAACATAGATTTAAAGTACTTGAATGATGGGTCTAGGTTGTTTAGAGCAACCCCATATTTCAAAGATTCTGACCTCTACTTGAACTGGCTAACCAAGGTAGAAAAAATTAAGGCAGAAACTTAGAAGAAAGCCGGGATCAGTGACTTGATTATGATGTCGAAGATAGCTCCCGCTTACTGTCCAACTCTGCTGGCTTCTTCTTTGTATTTTAGGGATAGTACCCATTATACATTTCACCTCCCTTGTGGGATGATGATCCCCACCCTTTTCAACATAGCTGCTATTACAGGGCTGAAACCACATGGATTGGTTTATGACCCTAAGGTAGACGCTCAAGACACCATAGGGTTCTCCACCACCAAGCACACTTACACCCACTTCATCAACCACTACCTTAACAAACAAACTGACACAATCGAAGACCAAGAACATATAGCATTCCTGGCTATGTGGCGTTCTCGCTGTGTGTTCTGCACCAAGTGTCTGCGGGTGGCAAGGAAATACCTCACTCTAGCCAACCAATTACATCTTAATCGAGGTGTTTGCCTAAGTGAAATGATATTGGCCAGCTTGTATGAATCTTTAAGTGAAGGTTTTGGTCGACTGAAAGACCAAGAGAGCAATGGGAATCTCTTGCTGTCAAGACCTTTCTGGCTGCTCTAACTCTGGCTTAATGCCACATTTGAGACTAGCCTCCTTAACAAAGGGACAGTCGACGAAGAAGATTCAGAAATCAAAGAAAGGCGAGTCGAATGGACTCGATTGGTGAAGATACACTACAAGGAAATTAGGGTTTTATGACACAAAAATTGCGACAGCTACTTGATAACCGTCGTAACTCTAATATAGAGATGCCTTTCACGACAGTATACACCTACCGCCCTTACATTTTTAAAAGATTATTAAATATTACGACTGTTATCATTAAACAGTCCTACAAATAAGTTTGCGACTGTCTCAAGAACCGCCCTAAATTTTATATCACGATGGTAGGACAAACGTCGCCCCCTAAACCCAGTAACACAAACTATAACCAATGGCGGATCCAGAATTATTTGTTTGTGGGGACTATAAATTAGTCTATGGATTTTGAATAAATAAATGACTAAAAAATTAAAATACATAAAAATTAAAATATTATATATTCTCAAAATAAAACATTAATTTTAAAAACTATTTTTTAATAAAAATTAAATTCAAAATATCAAAAGTTTACTATATATATATATATATATATATATATATATATATATATATATATATATATATATATATATATATATATATATATATATATATATATATATATATATATATATATATATATATATATATATATATATATATATATATATATATATATATATATATATATATATATATATATATATATATATATATATATATATATATATATATATATATATATATATATATATATATATATATATATATATATATATATATCAAAATTTTATAAACTCAAAATTTTAGAAATAATTTTTATAGTAAAAATTAAACATAAATTAAACTATATATACTATTAATATTATAAAATAATAAATAAAGAAAACAATTCAATAACATCCATTTATTAAAGAGAAATAAAAAAATTAATTAAAATAAAACTGTATATGTCGACCGTGAATCTACCGTCGCGTGTTCAAAATTTTTAAAACTTTCACCCTCAGATTCCCTCACAACCGCGACGCTGATATCCACCCGTCGTCATCTAAAATTTCTTCTTTCCAACTAAAACGCAGAATTCATTCCCCTTTTATTTGCCTTTTTTCTTCTTTTTCAGAAACCTCCGCTCACACCCTTGGAGAAAGAGGGAAACATTTCTGTGTTTTCAGCCACTCTCGCCGTCATTACGAATCACCGTCAAAGCAACCACCATCAATTTGAATCTTAACAGGTTTTTCTTCTCAAACCCTAAATTACTTTTCGAACCTTGACTCAGATCCATGTTTGGATTTTACTCTGCATTTTGTATTCAATTGATTTGGATTTTAAGCATTATGTGTTTGATTTCTCTGTTTGAGAGTTAAATCTGAGTAAGAAAATGGATTATTTATCTGCGTGGACGTGTTATGTCGAGTTTCTTGATGCTGAAGGGTTGTGGTTGCAAATTCTGGTATAGAGGATATGAGTAATGTTGTAAGTTGCACCGGTAGAATCAAATGTGTGAGAGCTAATGATAGGAAATTTTTTAACATCGTATAAATTGTTCCAATAGGAAATTGGAATTAAAACATACATA